AATATTTTGACTCATTAGGACAATAGAAGTTGGTGACAATCAACACCTCCCTGTAGCACTATTGTTGATACCAAATGAGATGTAATTAAGAGCTGTATAACTCGGCTTTTTAACCCTGAAGCAGGGCTAACATGTAGAATAAAAAGTAACAGTTTAGTTATAAAACATTTTCACATTGAAATCAACCTGAATGACAAAAAAATGAGGAACAGCATGATGTTCCTTAAAATCTAAAATAATTTACAAAGTTTTAATTATTGGTCTCTGTTACAAAACTGGCAAAGGGATTTCAAAAACTATTTTTAATTATGCAAATACAAATAGCCAAGTTATTCCATTTTCCTCTATTTCCTTTTTAACTCAATATCAAAATATCATTTTCTGTACTTCTCTCTGAAATGGGTGTTGTTCTCTACCTCACTTTCACATAAGTAATTTCCACAATCATATTCACCTCACAGGATTGTGCATAATGAAAGATTGACATTGTAATGAATTTTCCAGAAACATTTTATTACCCAAGTCCCTGATATATTGCATTCAGAAGATACCATAACAGTGGTGAAAGCACAAAATATTGTTATATCTGGGACGTTGAATATAGTAATACACAGTAAAAAAAAAAAAGTCATTTAAAATTTGGCTTATATACTGACAATAACGGCAAAGACTTAACCGTTTGCTGATCACAGAAAATCAGAAGGTATGAGTCATTGACATATTAATCAATGGAAAAGGTGATTAATTTAATACAACATTAAAAGAGGCACCAAAACAATGCACTGTTATCAAACCAGGCCTAAAATAACACTGAAAAACTCAATACAATATCAATTAAATTTGGACTGTTCTTTAAAACGCATATAGAGAATAGCAAAAGGTACTCATTTTAAAGTATTCTTTATTAGGCTACTAATAAAGAAAATCAAAATAATACAAAAAGGATATATTAAAACTACATTAAGGCTCAGATTTTAAAACAGGAGAACCAAGGAAATCCATTTATGGCTATTACTGTGTTCTTATAGTCTTACAGTGCCTAAGAAGTTAAGCCCTTCGAGAATGTTAAAGCATGCACAGTTCAGTATGTACAGGTATTGTGGGAATTCGAAGGTAGCCAAGGCAAAATCTAGCAACTGCAACCTTCACTTTTAAATTCCTCTATTAGGTGGTTAAAGACAGACCCTTAATAGTTTTTTAAACTCTCTTTTTTATTGTAGTTATTAAAATATACATCCTAGCAAAAATGTATGGCTCATTGATCAATTCATAAAACACATAGTCTAACAACACCAATTATTACAATATAAAAGAAACTTCTTACAAAAGAAGCTTTATTTGATGTCAAAAAACCCTGTTTTAACTCACAAATGAAAAGTATTTGTGTAAGGGTCTTTTTATAAGCTATTTAAAGGTGATCCAGCTGGAAGCATATACCCTGGGATGCCTGTCTCCGGACCTTCAAATTTTGGAGACAAAGGCTTTAATGCCAGTCTATTGAAAACAAGCTCTAATGAAGTCTGTAGTTTATCTGTATAATACCTTGGAGAAGGCAGAGTTAAAAATGTATCATCAATTAATTAGTTTCCTATTCCCATATATGATCAAAAGGGCAATGTCAATTACGTGGATACTACAGCTCCGTGATCATTCCAGTGGGAACCTTGAAAAAAATCAAATGCTACCATTTCATACCTGCTCCAGCATTGGAGCTGTTTCATTGTAGTCTTCTTTTTTTTCAGCACCATCCACCCCAACAGCTTTGGATGCCAACAAACCTTGAGAAAAATTGTAGAGATGTCTTATTAGAAAAAACATTGTTTTCACCCTCATTAACTTCTCAAAAATTTTAGCAGTTGAGATTTCCTGTACTTTTTTAATACATAGGAAGTAAATCTTTCCAATGTTTACTTTACAAAAATGCAAATATCTTTAATAGTAAGTAAGGCACTGAATCATAAGAGTTGATCGTGTAGGGGTGAAGAATTTTTAAATGACTCTGGAGATCCTTACGCACACACATACACACACACTTATTTTGTACCAATCTTAAATTTCATGGCTTAAAAAAATCCACATTAAGATTTCTTAGATGGCTAATACAAAACAGACTAGAATATGAAATAACTTTATTGTATTATTAGCTAAAAATGTCCCAAATTTTTTATTTCACTGAGCTCCTTTAAGTTTATGAATTTATTATTTCTGCGCTCAGTTGTAACTTTTCTTCCAAGTTTCAAAACTACTGGAAAATTCATTTTCCATTAAAGGAAAAACAAGTGTAGATCCTTCATACAATATCTGAATTATAGCTTTATTCTACAAATGATGAAAGAAATTGTAAGCTCCAGTTTACTCCAATATAATATACAACTAATTCTCAATTTTAGAAGCCAGAATACTTTATTTATGACACATATATGTGTGTATGTGCAGATATACACACAAAAAACATCATAACTCTAATTAATAAATTTTAGACATTTACTTGGTTAAAATTTCTTTGCTAAGTCTGTCAGCACATTCAATGAGGCTGAGTTTATAAGCTCTCCATAAAAAGTTTTGTTTTTGTTTATGGCCACACTACTGATAAATGCTTACCAAAAATCATTTGGCCACTCAAAGGAAGACTTTTTAAAAACTGACAATATTAAATTTATTATTTATTACCACCTTTATTTACTAAAGTTGTCTACAACATCATTTCACAGGAGGAAACATTGCCCCAAATATTATATAACACAGAACTATCCATAGGGAACATGGGCCATGAGATAACCACCTACATAGCTTGTTTCTGTCTCATATGACATAAAATGTAGATTTAAATGGGAAAAATAATGGTGTACACAATTTTACAAAAAAGTTTTTAAAATGTAACTTCAATCTAATTCTGAAAATATTTTTACATGACTAAAAAGGATTTAGCATGGAATATTTCTTTAACAATTAAAACTGTATTCACTAGGTTTTTCTTCTCAAGCTAATCAATGAATGATTGAAATTAAAGAATAAGAATTAGAGAACCAAGTTTTGTCAAAGAACTTAGCAGAAGTTCTATTTCTAAGGACTATTTAAACAGGACAAATATTTGCTAGTCATCATATCAAATAATTATATCTTTTATTTCCTTTAGTATAGATGGTAGAGAGAGCTTTTAATACTCATGAATAAATGGGATGAATCACAACTATAAAGTTAAAAGTAAACCAAACAATTCAGCTTTAACCTCTGAATTTACATTAGACAGTACAGGCCCAATTAAGTCAAAGCCATTCCCATGTGTTGGTTTGGGAAGGAAAAATAAAGCCTTATAATGTGCTTTTAGAATATAACAGGATATTTAAGAAAACTACTTAAAATAGACTAAAAGAATACTTGGCATGTAGGGAATTCAAAAGCCTAAGTATGAAAAATAAAATTTTGTAATACTTTATATACATAATAACTTATTATTACTAAATATAAACAACAAAAGAGGATAAATAATAATACATATGCTTAAAGATAGGAGTCTTATTTCTGCTTTAAGAGGCAGTCCAGAACCTGTTATCTTGACCTGTTAACATTCTAGGAAGAAATGTAGTATCAATAGAAAATGAGAGTTAACTGAAGGGAAATATATACAAGTGAGATTAATTTCAATTATTAGCAATACTTATTGTCAGTATATATTCCTACAGACGTTCCTCCAGAAGAATATCCCAAACGAATGCAGTTTCATGGTATTAGTCATTAAATAGAAACAGAATTCATTTCTATTTAATAAAATAGATGAGTTTCACCCATAAAGTCACAACTTCACAACACTATAATCTGTGATAAAACACATGTGTGGGTCTCAGCTACCAACAGGAATAAACAGAATACATCAGTGGTCCCTGGAATGCCAACACCAGTAGTCCCTGGAATGCCAAGGGGAGTACAAGCAAGAGCAAAGTGGTTATACTTTTAATCTACTTTTCATCCAGGGATTTCAAAACATCTTTTTGTTCTCATCAAATATATATGGATGGATATTATTGTCAGTAAGATATTACTGGTCAATTCAAACCCTGGGTTTTTAAAAATTATTTCAAAACTTATTATGTTACATAAAGATATCTAAACAGGCAGAGCTTTCAGAAACTCCTATGAATGATTAGGAACTATACAAACTGCTGTTGTTTCCTCTTATATCCCTTGACAATTTCTATATTTAAATAGACTCAAATTCAGTTTGCTTGAAATTTTGTTCCCAACAGGTCTAGATTCCCAATTTTCTGTGTAAAATTTTCTATTTTAAATCAATATGCATATAGCATATAATATCAATAAGATACATGGCAGAATGAAAAAAAAGATCCTGAAAGAATGAAAAAAAAGTATGTTATATGTAATATATTTAACAATATAACATATACAATATGCTATGATATATACAATATATAATGTATATATTTATATATTGTGACTATAGCTTAAAGATCTCAAAATTTCTTAGGAAATTTCGATAAAAGCGATTCTTATATCATTCTCTATACTGAAATCAGGTTTAGATAAACTGTAGGGTATGTATGTGGGGAAAGAGAATAAAAAGAGTGCATAGATACAGAATTAATTGTATCCACCTATTTTTATCTAGACCTACCTAAAATAGTAAAATGAAATGGAGTGTGGGAACGATCAAGAAATCATGATCCTAATTCCACTTCCCCTTAGTATTAAAGGGAAAAAAGGAAACACATAGATAAGATTGATAAGTTTAAAATATACCATTATTCCAAAACAAAATAGCTGTCTATTAGTTCTCATTTCTATTTATGGACCACAAATGAAATTTATTGTACAGAGGCCAGCCTAAGTTTTCAAGCATTGAAAGCAATCTTACAATATCTATTGTCTTTTTGCAGGATAACAGTTATAACATGAAATCAAAAACAGATGAAGAGAGATGAATGACCAAAAGGAACATCATACACTTAAATCTTCTGAGTAAATAAAGGGAAAAGATCATAATGGCTTTACATTCTTAAGATCTTATGCTGTACTGTGGTTGCTGCCAAACAGTCACATTTGAGATTCCCAAGGAAAAGTAAAGAGAAAAATCCCTCCACAAAAAGGCACAGGGCATTTCTAAGCAACCAGGATCATAACTTGAAGCACATGGTAAAATATTTCTTTTTCTCCCCAACTCCTGTCTTCCCAAGACTGTGCAGAGATAATGCAGCTGTTTTCTTTTTTATTTCTTTAAATGTTGAGCTTGATCCTCCCAGTAAGGCCTATAGAAGAGGCATATGTAAAAGTATATTGACTGAAACTTAAAGCAGGTTATCCAGACTGAAGGAAACAAACAAGGCTGGTAAGTGGCAGTCGAATCCTGTCAGCACCACTTCTGTCTTCCTCCATCTCCACTCCTCCAGTAGAGCTGTTTCAATCTTTGTATCCAGGGAGTTAGAAGTACTATCCCACTTCTGCCCTGCATGAGCACTAGGGTTCAAATTTCAAGACAAAACTGAAATCTCAAGTTGCCATCAGAACAATAACTTAGAAAATATTTTTGCTTTCTCCCAGGCTAACAGTTTCTAAAGAAAGAGTTTAATGGGTGAAATGATTTGAAATATTCCTGTCCTGGGAGACAATAAGCCCTATATCAGAGAAACTCATGAAATATAAACAAGTAGCAAGAGACAAAATATCCTCACCTGCTGAAACCAATTATAACCATGTAGATGAACACAATAATTCAAGGATGGTTATAAGAAACCCTCACTTTTGAAGTCAACTTTCGGTAGGCTTCTTCTCTTGAGAAAATGTTCAAAATGTGTAATTTATTTTTATTTCTAGGTTTGACAATAAAATTAAGCTTCTTCAAAATATTTAAATAAATGCCAACAAAGATTTATATAACTTTATTAGGCCAAAGGCACTAAAACCATCTTGTCTTAAAAAACAGAACATATGACTATATCATTAAAATAACTAAACTCACCTTTAACATGTACTAAAAAAAATAAAAAAAAATAAAAAAAAAACGTGTGCACTAGTGTTTTAAAGATTACAAATATTATTTTGAACAGGCCTTGGAAGAGACAGGGCCTAGTATGACTGGCCCCTACTCTAATACTTCAATTCCCTCTTTTATGAAACAGGCTAGGATTATCAGTGTTTTGGATCATTTTAGCACCATAGGTTGATAAAAGCCAATAATCTGTTTCTTACAGAAACTATACCTACTACCAAAGTGATTTAAAAACTAGGGGATTTTATAGCATTTGAACTTATCAATATCCTCACAACACCCCTGTGAGGTAGGTAGAAAATATTTGCTATTTTTCCACATTAGAAAAAATTAACAGTATTGAAAGACATTTACTTTGAAGAATCAAAAGTAACTGCCTTTCTTACTCACCAGTTCTTTACAATGAACCAAAAGATGCATTTTACTCTATTAAAAATAAACTACTCTAAAAAGAAACCCTCCATCCCCCCCAAAAAAGAATCATTGTAGTTTACCAGTAATCTTGTTAAGTCGTGCTCTCTTTGCCTGAAATGAGTTGCCTTGGTTATTTTTCCTCTTGTTTGATAATGTGCTCTCTGGCTGTGGAAAGATCATCTTTGGAACGTTCTCTACATGAAGTCCTACTTTTAACAGAACACATATGTGAGAATTTATCTAAAATCGAAAATTCAAACACATAATTTTTTAAAATAGCTAAATGGTAAAAATGCTTTGCATATTATATTTTTAATCTAGTGTTTCCTTAGAACTTTAACACAATCCCCCCTCATTGATATATTATAAATAGAAGACTAAGTAGTTTTTTGTTGTTGTTGTTTTGTTTTTTAGGAAAACTGGGAAGAATGTTTTTTCCATACAACACACTGAAATATATGCAAAAAAAATTTAAAAAGGAAAACACAAAATAACTCAAAAACCTACTACCCCAAGATGTTACAAATCAAAATTTCAACTCACTTCTATTCTAGACTATTAATACCATTTAATATCAGATAGTGACATTAGAACTTTTCATTTTAGATCTGTCCATACGCTGCTTAGAAAGTTTGCCAAACTATTTTGCTAAGGGAAAAAAGCCTAATAATTTAATATGTTGAAAATTATAGGTAGTCAAGGAATTGAAATTATTCACTATAAGAGTTTACCAGTATCATTGGGAAGAAAAATAAGAATGCATTTTGTACCAAATGTTTCACTAGATGTAGGCAGATCTTCCTTCTTCTCAACCTCTGGTGTGGTTATACGAGTTGAAGTTTCCTCCTTCTTTGAAGGGACTTTAAACCACTTTCTTTCTTCTTTCTCTTTTTCTTTGTTGCTGTTAGCACTGGTTCGGGGTTTACTCCCTGTTTTATTCTTGGCTGCAGCTGCAGCAGCTGCTTTGACTAAAGCTATCCAATCCTCCAAAGGAAAACACAAAACATGAAGTATTAAAAATCAATCAAAATGCAATTCTCTAATGAATAAAAACATGTATCACACTTTCAAAGGTACTTTCACACTAGAGAAATTGAGCTAACTGCATTTATGCTATAGATCACCATCATGGAAGATTATCAAAATTAATAATCTAATGGGTTAATTGGATTACACAGCCTTCTGTGTAATACTGAATATTGGATAAGTGTTCCTTTGGTATATTTCATGGGAATAAAACCTAACATAGAAAGCCTATGGCAATTAATAGATACTTCATAGCATTCTATTTTTAGTATTTTAGGGTTAAAATGCTAAATTTCATTTCTTTTTCATAATACAATGTATCATTTAAAAAATGCTTATATTACAATCCTGCAAAAATGAAACAAAATGCATTCCCACTGCTGAAATTACTATTCCTTATTAGGAAGAGTATACCATTCATATCAGTCAATTTCATGGAAATCAATAAATGATCTCATTACTTCCTAAAGTTTAGAATCAATTTAGCACAACATTAAAATTACTGATGATGGGGAAAAAAAAGAGCCATATGACTTAAAACAATGTAAAGTGTACACTGTCAGTCTCCAGATTGGTTACTCTTCCTTTTTTATTTTCTGGGTGTGGTAGTTACCATTCTACTAAGGTACAATTGTTTTGTTTTGTTTCCTTAACCAGGAATTAAAACCAGAGTTCTTTTACCACTGAGCCACATGCCCTGACCTTTTTTTTATATTTTACTTAGAGAGTCTCGATGACTTGCTTAGGGCCTCAATAAATTGCTGAGGCTAGCTTTGAACTTGTGATCCTCCTGTCTCAGCCTCTCAAACCACTGGGATTACAGGCCTGCCACACCACACCTGGCTCAAAAACTTATTTTATCATTCTTAATTTTCTGTTGATAAACAGACTTTACTTTCATTTTTAACTAAATTTCTTAAAATTATGTAGAAATAAATATAGAAATGTAAGGTGGTGCTAATATTTTAATTTTCACAGAGTCTTTTTTAAAAAAAAAAAACAAATATCTATAATATGTCTGTGAAGTGCATCTTGCACTGAGGCCACTCAGCTCTCTCACACCAATTCAGATTCATCAAAAAATGCATAATACATTAAATTCCTAATTCAAGTAATGGAAAAACACGTTCTTAAACAATAAAGCAATACAAATTATTGGCTTTTCAGTCTTAAAAATATATGAAGATAAACAAGCCATTAAAAACACCAAACAAAACCTATCCATCCCTCTCCCCTGTGATGGAAATTAACTGAAAGCATTATGTGATTGCACCTAACATATTCAATTACCTATTTTCTACAGAAGGCCCTGCTATATAAGGCATATACCTAAGTTTTCAAGATAGAATAGGGGATTTAAAAAAAAAAAAAGACAGGTCGGGGCCAAAAAATTCACAAGCAAATAAAATTAATCATATGAGAATGTAATAGAGAATAAATAAATAAACAAAATTTACAGTGTAAATTTTACATAAGCACACCTTTGGCAATGGAAGAGAGCAAGTTCTTGCCTCGTTCTAAGACTCCATCCTAAAATATGTTTGTTTCAATAATAATTGGTATTAACATTCCACTAAAAATCATGTAGTGGACAAAAAAAAGGAAAGAAAGAAAAAAAAAGGAGCCAAGAGAGGAGGTATTCTACTTTGGCAGTGAACAAGTCTACAATACCTTCTTTCCCTGAGAGAACAATGTGTACAAACACAGTGTAAGAAGGACAACAGCAAACACTTCATCTATCATAATATTAAAAGCTCTTTAAGGAATTAAAGCTAGCCTTTGAATGCAAGAAGAGGTTGAGCAGTATTAATTAACTTGTTCAAAGTTAGAAATGACAGCATTAAAGCTTTTATTCAGGCTGAATAATATTAATTAATTTGGACATTTATATGAGTATTATTGTTAATAGTTTCTTATTTTAAAAAGGTTCTATAGAAAGGTTATGGAAGATCATTTTCACAGTGTATTTATTTTAATGCTAGTTTAGTAAAAGAAATATTATTTCATATCTCTATAACCCTTTATAGAGATATAAAGTACTCAAAATTGGGAAGGTAAAGTTGGAGTCAAAATTGTCTTAGCCTTGATTTCTGCCCATTTCCTAGAAGAAAATAAGTCAAAAACTTGTTGGGGATGGGGATGGAGGGGTGGGAAAACCCAGAAAAAGGGGACAGTTTAAATAATTCTACAGCTATCTTTAATCTGCTTATAAAAAAGTATGAAAAGTGAAAAATAAAATATCCTGCTACCTATAATTTTAAACTTTGCCATTGATTTTAATGTTACCATACATCATGATGTCAAATACTTATAAAAATAAACATGCAATAAATTTAATTTCTACAATCTGTAATTTTACCCCAAGACCAAACTGGCTCAATTGAGGCAACTGAGTATTAGTGACATTAGTGACATTTCATGCCATATGAATAACCAGAGTAACAAATAATGTTTTAAAGCATATGTATATACATAATGAGACTTTTATTTAAACAGATATATACTAAAATATTTTGCCATTATTTTAATCAACCTATGTAGTAACCACAAAAATCACACCACTGAATTCTTAAAAGAACATTTTATTTATATGACACGCAAGAGGACACAGCATAATTTCCTGATAAAAAGCATTTTCATTTTAAGTTGCATTTACATATTAATAAATATGTAATTCTACTAGCTTATCATTTCACAAGTAAATTTTTGAAAACCAGGTGATGTAAAAAGAAAAATCACACTTCTCAGAAGATTTCTTCAAAAATATATTTTTTAAATGTGGTGGCATACATTTCTAGACTATTAAATGTTCACATTTAGCTGAAACTGACCAGGTCACTAAAACACATTTGGAGATGGCACTTTTTGCTGCAAGGTGGGAAAAAATACATTGCAAATTTCCACATTAGACATTTAAAAGATCACTTTCAAGTTTTTAAAATTAATTGTAGGTCCAGGTGCTGAACATCCCAAATAACAGCAGAACATAAAAGAAAAGACTTTGTTTCTAATGGCACCTTTTCTTTCCAGTATCTTAGAAAATATAATCAACAAATGGAATCACAGTTTTAACTCTATCCCAGATTTCCCTTCAAATGCTTACCATTCATTCTTGCTTTGAGCAGTGACAGACCATATAATACACTGCTGCCATCATATGACTCAGAGAGCCCTACCTGAAACAGCCTACAGAGTGTCAGGTAAGCGCCTTTTAAAGGAAAATGAATGACTATGATTTGTAGAAGGAAAGAAGAAGATAAGAAACTCAATGTAAAATTTTGTATTAAAAAATAACTTTCTAAATGATACTATACACCAGATAAAAGAAAACAAAATTAAAATAAAGGCACTTACCTCACTTCCCATAGACTGGTTACACGATCCAGCTGGGTCGATAGGACAACACCAGCTTAGTGGGTGCTGGGATTTCACCTGGAACAGAAACTAGTGACCTATAACTTTAGCAGGTCTAAAACCAAAGAAGCAAAAATCAAGTGTATAATTTATTTTACATTCTAAGCTTCTTTTATTTTTTTATTTTTATTTTTTGCTGCTATTTGGGGCTATCAGCACATAACCCTACAATTATTTCACTTTTAAAAATACTTGAATATTTTGATTAGTCACCATTCAAGAAGACCATCCCTTTGAGTAGCTAGGAATACTGAACACTCTTACCTGCCCCTTAGCATCCTCAGGCATGGCTTTAATGTGCATTCTTTTTAAACAACGAATTACACCATCATAAAACTGAACTGTGAATGTTCCTGAAATAGGAGCAATTTGGAATCATTAGAAAATATCAAACAAACTTATAGCAAGACTTGGAAGCTAACAAGCAGCAACCTGACAAAAATAAATGATCTGTGATAACACTACTGCAAACAAAAACTCATCTAAGGATTCCAACAAGTTTACTAAGTTTACTTTCTCTAGCCTTTTAAAAACAACTATGAACTCATATTATCCTTTAAAAACAATTGTTTAGTTAAATTAGTTGCCTACAATTCTGATTTTTACTGCAGAATTTAAAAATTTATTTGTAATAATTTAAATATACTTGAACTTCTGATTAAAATAAAATTGTTATTTACAAAAGCACAGTATTTCCATAGGAATGAGAATTTATTCTCTTGGAAATTTTCTTTCAAAATTATTAAGATTCTGACATAGGAAAAGATCATATTTTTCCCAAGAAAAGAGCATCCCCGTGGCAACAGTATTAAACTGGCAAAAAAGATTTATATATTTACAGACTTTTAAGCCAGAAAATCATTTTTCAAATCATCTAGATGACTGTTGCATTATGCAGATCAAGACCCTGAATTCCAAGAAGATGGAATGCTGCACCAGCTGCTGGTTGGCTATGCAGCAACACAGCTAAACATCCTCCATTGTGTCTCACCATCCATATCTTTCCTACTAACTCATTCTATTTTAGGATTCAAGATTCTGCTGCAAATTCACTTGCATAAAGACTCAGAAATATCATTAGCTTTTGGTTATAGACTGCACACTTTGAAGTCTGTAGAAGTTAGAACTACTAGAAACATATTACATGGATTTTATACTTATAGAAATCCAAAAAAGTTTTTTTTCTAGAATTTTCTAGATAAATGTTTTTTCTATAATTTCCCAAATGAGAGCAGGGTGTCAAGATACTTGGTCTTTACCAAAGAAGTATAAACAAGAAAGGTGACAATAATTATTAATGGCTTTGGAGTTGATACCAAACCCAATAGCATATATGTGCAAATATTTTTATTTTTTGATAATCTCAATAACACCATTTGATTTTATATCTTTCTACAATTAGTATAATGCAAAATATTACAAAGATCCAAACTCAAGTTATGAAAATAACTGACTAGATGATGAGCACAGATATAAAGAGATCATAAAATGTTTTAGAATGTCAAATTGCAGGTGCACCCGACAACTGTCTCTCCTGCAATTCTCCCCCCTCTTCCATTCTCAACATGGCATTCCAGAGGAGCCCAGGCTGCTGGGGAGGCCCTCCAGCTGGTGCTCATATCTTTTTCGCCACTCTGATGTTTTCATCTTCCTTCATCCTTTCTATCTCCAACCCATTCTTCAAGGTTCATCCCCAAGATGAAAAACCTCCTTGACTTCTCTAGTCATGCGCATATTTACTAGTTTGTTTTTGCTTTTACATGGAATTGAAGATTTCTGGTGCCTACTGCACTTTTTTTTTTTTTTTTTTTTTTTTTTTGAGGAGTGGGGAGAGGCAAGTTCATCCACCCTGCAGGATGTATAGAAATCTTCTAGTGGAGATTTTTATAAAACAAATAATGGCTGCCAATATTTCACTAAAGACTTATTGGAACTAAAATGGCAGCAAACACAATACCTACCAGTATCATCACTCTTCCACTAACATAAGTTTAATTTTCTTTATTATACACCTATGGATAAATGAGATACGATAAAGAATAAAGGTGTCTTGCTCTGAGTGTGATGTGTTTACACGTGTACATGCACAATTGCATATGCATTCAGTTATGAGAATTTGAACCATGAAAGAAAATCTCAAGATTTTTCACACTAAAAGGAACATTAGAGGGCATTTTTAATTTGACTTTGTTTTGTTTTGAGTGGAACCTTTTACCTAAAAGAACAGGTTCGTTACTTCCCCCCCCCTTCTTCCTTCCAAAAACTGTTACTGACTCCCTACTCTGTACTAGGTTCTAGACTGGACACAGGGGATCACTGTGAACAATCCTGGGGCCTGTAAGCTTCATGACACAGCTGTATAAAGGGTAAGTGCATGGGGAGATACAGACCTTGATAGAAAAGAAAATATAATCTGCAATACCAGTGATAGCTGTCTCTCCACTCTTCCTGCAGTAGGGTAACCCTGTTCATAAAACTACAGGTACAGCCATGGTTTCAATCCATGGAAACAATAAACAGGGTTAAGATGTTTGCAAAGTTGCATCATGTTTTTGAGTTAGACTACTGACTTTTTTTCATATATAACATTACTCAATATATTACTTTTTAAATGTTTTCTTCTTCTATCTTTGATGGTTACTTTAAACCCTCAGCTTACATTTATTCCATGGCTCCATCACCCACAAATAAAATTCAAATTCTTCAGCAATATCATAAGATACCTTATATACTGACCCTTGTTTCTCTCTTGCCAACCACTTTCCTCACTTCCACCAATAAAGGAATTCTTTATCCAAACCATTTGGAGCTCCTCAAGATAGCAAGTCTCTCTCACTTCTTCTCCATGTATTATTTCTTCTGCCAAAAAAGCCTTTAATCCCTTCTTCAGCTACCTTATGTGTCTTTCAGTTTAAAGCAGTGTTCCTTACTTAAATCAAAGATCCTTCTTGACAAGAAACTGTTGCTCAATGTTTCTTTAGTAAAAAATTAATAAGTTGACAAATTTAAGAAACTATAATAGAAAATTAATATTTATCTGACTTGAAACATATATTTTAAAGTATTTCAAAACTGTCTTAAATGAGATTTTTGTAGAGAACTTTTAAAAATAAAATATTTAAGCATATTTTCAATGAATATTTAAGCATTGATTCTCATGCTTCTAGATTAATCAAGCTACAAATTATATATTTTAAGTTCAATATCTGTCTACAAAGTTTCCCAATCTCATGCCACACTATGACACTGATTGCTGTTCATTTCTGTTAGTTGGTTCTTCACCATGCTGGGGAATGAACCCAGGGCTTGGCACATCCTAGCAATCACTGCACCATTGAATTATACTCCCAGCCCAGATGTATGTTTGTTTTGTTCATTTCGAAATACTCTCGCTATGTTGCCCAGGCTGGCCCCGTTTATCCTGGGCTCAAGTGATCCTCCTGCCTCAGTCTCCCACGGAGGCAGGACTTCAGGTGTGTACCACCATGCTGGACTAATTTCTGTGTTATTTTCAACATTTTTGATTACTTCAGTAACTTTTGCTCAGTATGGCATAGTCTAAAAACTGTCCACACAAGACTGTTAGGAAAATAAACGTCAACTATATAGAGTAACTAAAGAAAGGGTACAGGAGAAATGTATAATAAAGAAAATCCTCACATTCAATACCTTTTCCTCCAAAATTATTGCACGTATTTCATTCACAAGTTGAACTGATTTGAATTTCCCTTTATTTTAAATTTTTCCTTACCCAGTCACATACAGGAAACAGAATAAATACATATACATACAATATAGATCTAAAAACTGAAAGTTGAAAATTTTTAACTTTATTTGGTATTTATGTGCCAACTTATTTTATACAATATATGACAGATTAGCTCCCAAAATAGAACACTAGCAGACAATTAATTCAGTAAAATACAAAACAAAGTAAAGTAAAAGCTACATATAACAACTACATACATTAATGCAATTTAAAAATACAGTGAAATTTTACTGTCAATCCCATTTTAATTCTCAGACCATTTCAACTACATACCTTCTTTGTTAATTGCTTCAATCTTGGCAGGGTAATAGCGACAGTCTGTCCAACGAGCCAGAACTTCTTCTCCAGCTTTAAAATCCTATTTTAAACAACTTGTAATATCAATTCCATGTATAATAAATAAGCATTTCCTTAACAAAAACAGAATTTTGTCGAATTTAACAGAATACTTTTAAAATATATCATTACATACTTAGCAAAACTAGCAAACAAAAAATGCCTGCTACTTACAAAGAAATCTTCCTCTTCTTTTAGCCCTTCTTTTCTTAGTGCAGGTCTCTCAAGGGGTCGCAATCTATTGCTATCCCAGTAAATCCATTCGTCATAACGATGACTCCAGCGCTCGAAATGGACTAACATCTTGCCCTCTTCATAGTCGATTTTTTCAATTCGTGATGGGTACCTCAAAAACAAAAAAGTTTCAAATCAAGAGAAAATCCTTACATTTGTTTATACAAGGTATTAAACAGAAAGATGCCACTTAACTAATGTTTACCATTAAAACTATGAGCAAAACAATATGTTCATATTTTAAACTATCAAATCCACAGTTAATATTATAATTACTGTCTTTTATAAATGAATGCTCTCAAGAACTAAAGAAATAAACCCTTCAATACACTCTAAATAAAAATTAAAATTACCCTACTATTCTGGGAAGCAATGTCAATGTATCAAGAGATTTAAACACAATCTTCCTTTTTTGACCCAATAATTCTTATTCTGAAAGCATATACACAAAGCATTATTTTGTAATAACAAAGAAAATAGAAACCATCTAAAAATATGGCTGAAAAAACTGAAGCCTGTCTGCAGTTCCATGAACTATGGAATATTTACTAAAGGAAACAGTCCTTAAATAGGATGCTTACAAGTAATTTAAAAAACAGAAAAAATGTAAAAACTAAGCACTAACTTTAGAATTATAAATATGTAAACTGTGTTTAGAAAAAATACAAATATACCAACATGTACATCTGTCTCTATATGCCTAAATGCACTTTTCTTTTTATTTTTTTATACTTTCTAGTATTTTATAATAAGTAGCTACAAAGGTTAGGAAAATCTAATAAAACCTTAAATTTAAAAATATAAAAATAATATATCACTATTCTGCCTTCACATGTGAAGATTTTTCTATTCCAAAATAGAAATTAGTTCACTTGGAATTTTTTACAAGGAAAATTGCCTCATCATTTCTAATGTACTGAAATGAATGTTCAAAGATGACTCAACATTTTGTAAAAGTATGATTTAATACATTAAGAACTCAATAGCACATGGGTGATGATTCAACCATAATAGTTTATCTCATATGTTTGCTAGATTTTGATTACAAATGTAGAGTCTTTGTTTTCCCTATTGAAAATTGGCTTTAAAGTCACAAAGACCTTACATAACTTTGAAATTACCACTTGTTTTATAGATCAATCATGTCATGTCATTCAAGATCTTTTATGAATCTTTCTCTGAAATACAGAGAGAGATACACCTTGTTATGTATACCTTCTATGTACTTTCTTACTTCTTTGGCAGTCAGCTGTATGTTTGTCTGATGATACTAAGCTACTTGCAATTTGCTTGAAGGTACCATGCTCCATCCTGTGCTTTTGTGCACTATGTTCTTTCTATCTGGCCTTCCCTTCCTCAGTATCCTGTCAAGACTTGTTTTAATGTGCAGCCAATGTTGTGAAGACCTCCCTACAGTGTTGCTCTCATAATACTCATCATGTGATTATCATCTCTGTACAGGTTCTCAAACTGGGTGCTGTAAAGCATTTACATCCCTTGAGACACTGAGATCTGTGACACTGAATAAAGATCCTGAAGTCAAATAAGGTACGAATATACTGGATTTAAAAGTTAAACTATCTTCTTTACTGAAAGACTTCTTGGTGCTACCAAAAAGATGGAGATGGAGATAAAATATTCATTTTACCAAACTTAGGTATTACTGAATATTAATATTTTTCAAGAGAGTATATAGCCAAGGAATATGATTCCAGAATGCTCCTCAGTCTGTACTCCCAGAACCTGGCACAGTGATAGGACATACAACAGGCACTCAGGGAGTATTCAGCATAAAGAAGTGATGTTACAGAAAGACAATTTGCATGTTTTTCACAACTATGAAGGCTGCTGACTCAATTTTAATCTTGGAGTACTTTGTTATAGAAAAGTATAACAAACACAAAGAAATCCAGATAAACATACTGCTGAGGAGGACAAGCCCACCCTGCACAAAGAGCCAAGGTTATGATGCTCGTATTTTCCAGTGTTGCTCTGGTTTTCTGTTTTTGCTACTCTGGTTTTTAAAATATAAAAATTATCAAAAGCATCAAAGGAAGCCTAGAACAAGATTGGCTAACCTTTATTTTCAACATTTGCCAGCCATTGAAGTACTATGAAGAGATTTTCTATCAATTACAAAAATTGATAAATTTCTCTCAAAAATGTAAGATTTCACATGCTTACTTTATCACTATCTTTTAATTTCTGAATAGTAAGGGACTTACTGTGTAGTTCCCTTGAAATTCTAAATGGATGCAGCTATACATATTTAAAACATTTCTCAAAGTGAGGAGAATCCACAGTAATAGATTTAAATAATCTCTATTTTTATAAAATGATTCAATTCGCTAAAATATCAGAATATAAACGACTTTAAATAATGAAAATCTAAACTGCATTCTTAAGTAACTTATGGTTACTTAAATATTTCCAATTCTGCTGGCTGAGAGGATGCCTGATGCAACAACCAGTCTACAAACTGAATTCTAGGAGCCTCTTTAGAAGTCACAGCATGTCACACTCTGTAATTATCTACAAACTGCTGTGTAAACTTGAGAAAAGGCCAAAAGTTAAATAAGTAATATGATACCTAGGATTAATATAATTTTAACTTTTATAAGATCTACTAGTGAAATTTTGAATCTTAAATAAAGGTATCAGAAATATTACCATTATCAAGAATGTCCAAATTTCTGTTCATTCATGCAACATATACTTGAACAGCTAATAAGACTAAGGCACTTGCTAGGCACTGTTGGTAGATACAAAAAGAAACATAATTAACTTCTACCATCAAGAAGCTTATTATCTTTAGAGTCAGATGAGAGAAAAAAATGAAGCATTTATTGTCATGTGAATGTCAAGGCTCTACAAGTTTTACTTACTGCATGTCTCAACTGTCCTTTATATGCATTTTTCATTTGATCTTGGTAACCACCCAGGGAATAGATAACATAGTCCCAATTTAACACATGAAGACTGGTCCAAGATTACATGATACTGCATTGTTCAAAGGCAAGACTGACTGGCACAAGTCTATGTCCCATGCCAGTAGGAGAAATGAGAAAAGGCCTATCTCTCAGTGATGATATTATACACAGTAAAAATAGTAAGTGCATACAAAAGGTTTATCTAAGATTCTTTAATAATTCAAAGAAATCAGGGAGTCCATTGAAGGTTCTTGGGAAACATTATCCATATTGAACCTAGTAGGGGACTTTAAGATTTGAGACTTAAATACAATACAATGTGAAGAGTATAGCATAATTCATTTACTCATGTTCATTTAATTTAAATCATTTATGTAACTCTGGGTAACAGTAGCCAATGTGGATTCAGAGTCAAGTAGGAGGTGGGATCTGTCCTCAAGGGCCTTGTGTTTGGAGACTGAAGGGGTGCTTAACAGAAACAGTTATATTCCCTTTCACCAGATTACATGATTAACAGTAAGATGTATAATGGAAAATAGTGAGTACTAGATTGGACTTGCTAGCTTTCTACAAACAGATAGCAGGGAGTCACTTGAAGTTTTACTTTATTTTTCACTTCTACCTTAAGAAAAAAATCATAACATTGAAATCTTTGCAATACATATAAAGTACACAAAATAGCATTTTAACATACAGTGCTATATAATAATAAAATGATTTCCCTGTTCAAGCAGATGGCCTATAGTAATAATGTTTGGAAACACAGTGAAGGAAAAATACTGTTGAACAAATGTATTCACAACTGTTTCCCATCTTGAACTACAACATTATTTTGATGCACTGTTTATGCTTTACTATAATTGACTACAAACTGAACCTAAATTTTTCTTACTGAATTTAGAAGATGTTGTGTTGTTTTTGACTTTTTTTTTTTTAATGCTGAATCATAGAAAGCTGTTAAAGAACAGTGATTGGTCTCAGTCTCAGAAATTTATGATGATAATTTATGTTGAAAATATTTAAGAAACTGGGAGCCTGGGGTTTCAGACTTTAAAGTGTCAGAGATAAGCAGCCAAAACAATGATTACAGATGAGAAAATTAGAAACAAATTGAGCATGAGGTAGCAATTCACAAGGGTTCAACAAAAAGAAATGAAGAGAAGGTAACCTCACTAGAAGTATGATTCCTCAAAGAGAAAATTTTACATAGAGTTCTTTTATCCCTTTTCTTGTGTTACTGCCAAATACCATAAAATTTCCACTGTGTACCTTCCCTGGTGTAATACCACTTATACACTCATTGTTTAAGTGACGTTTACTTGTGTACAAAATAAGGTAGTGCTCCACTGCTCTGGATGACATTGCTCTTATGTCTTTTATACTTGAATCCTGAAGAAGAGTTTATCTTGATCAAACTTAAGGAAAAGAATTCACCCTATTAACTTTTTTCGGAGGAGGTGGAAGGTCAACGGAAATAAAGAACAAATCCAAATACTCAGAAGATTTTAAGATAATCTTTGTTATATTTAATTGACCCTTTTTGAATCCAAATTCCCTAATGGTCACGTTCCTGTGGCTGTAACTACAAATAGAGCAAAGTCATCACAAAAAATAAAAATTATTTTTACTTTCTCTGAACTCTAATAGATTTTTATTGCCTTACTTATATACTGTCATTTTAACACTACGACAGGTACTTCCAACATACAGAAGATTGTTCAGACAGTAGCAATATCTATAAACTCTGAACTAAATCCACAATGAATAAGAACCACACACTAACCAAAGTTAGCTACACAATGAAAATACTGCATCAGCTCCTTACAGTATCAACACCCAATGTTGTCAAAACACAAAAATATGAGAAACCTAAAATGGGAATTACCACTACTGGTGAACTCATATACTGGCTCACACTGTTCACTATTTAACCCAGGCAAGTCTTGACTCATCCACAAGAGGATCTCAAAATGCCTGAGGTTATATGCAAGCAAAATACTGTTTATTAGTGTGGATATGTATGAACAGTTTTAAAGGAGGACATTCCCAGGTTTATGCAGATTTCAAGAGCCCATGGGCAAACAAAAACTTCTGGAAGGCAAGATCATCTATTAACATTCAAACTATCAGTAGTCCCTTATTCCTGAGTGAAAGAGGAAAAGAAAGGTGAGCAGGCAGTCATATCAGAAATATCAACTGATATATTAATAAATAATGTTTGTTTTATTATTACTACATTGCTTTGTAGTCAATGTTGTAACAGTAAAACAAACATTATTTAAATTTAAAAAATTCATTCTGATTGGTCATCCTATTTGATACATCTAGATTTTGACCAGTACTGATAAAAGAAAGTCAACAATAAGAGAAGGACAAGGGAAATTCCCAGATATACTTATGGTCTCGAATCTCCTGCACTTAAACTGAAGTCCAATCAGTACAATCCACTGAGCAAGGTCAGAATATGTTGCCAAATGTCCTAAAGACCATTAAAATTCATGAAAAAGATTTGAGTAAAGACTAAGCAACTATTTGAACAAGTGTCATAGCAATTAAAAGGTGAAAGAATTTTTAAAAATTGCCCTGAGTTATTCAAATTTTGTTTGTGTTGATAAGACAATAAAAGTTCTGATATAAATTTAGAAATCAACTGTTTCCTATTAACTTCATTAATCAGCAAAGAAAAAGTGAATCAAATAAATTAACACAATTATAATCTACTGTAATAACTAGTAAAGATACATTATACTAGCATATAACAATATTTTTAAAAGAATGCTCTCAGAGCTGGGGTGTAGTTCAGTGGTAGAACATTTGCCTACTATATACAAGGTCCTAGGTTCAATCCCCAATATGGCAAAATATAAAAAATAAAAAAATAAAAATTACTTCATGGACAAAACTGTTCTTTAAGATTTATAGGATGATAATGTATGAAATATGACAAACATAATGTAAATGTTAGCAGAATCCTAGGGAGTTAGGATTAACAATTCAAAAAATTTTGCAGATAAGAACTTATTTTAACATGGTGTTCATTCAAAATAACTAAAACATATCATAAGAGCTAGAAATAAAAGGTTATTTGTCAAATAAAAATTAAGGTAGACTGTGATCCTAAGTAAACACAATATTCTTGTAACCTAGTAACTCTTTAATGTTTTCAGTTTCCTAGAAGCACTTCAAATTTACATACACTTTGTGATTTTCCTCACCTATTCATCTACTGATTTTACCTGCAAAGACAAGGTAACCTAATATTTTTATACTAGAATTTTAAAATTCAGTGCTTTTAGACACTGAATATTAATTTATTTTACACTTAAAAAACACTGAAAAACCCTTTTGATTTATTCAAAGTTGAGATTTCAAAATGAAACACAATTAAAAATAATCTAGAATTTTAAGAACATTCAAGATAATAGCTCATGGGTCAAAATCACATCTTCTACAACTCTCTAGGGTCTAATCTATTTAGACTATTTCTCAGCTCTTCCTTCTAGACTGTGCACTAATCCCCAGAACACACACAGGTAGGGCCTATGCCACGACCTTTGCACTTTTTACCTCCTCCTACCATCAGACTCCAGAAACCCCTCAAAACTCTCCTTTTACTTT